AGATCCCCAGTGGAGGAGTCACACGGGTCGCCAGCGAGACTCTTGTGGCTGGTGAAACCTCAGCGCGGCAGCTCTCGGAGCAGAGTAAACAGGGCTGGCTCCCCTTCTGACCAAGGTTTGGGGGACCCACACAGGTCCCCAGCACGACTCCTGAGGCCGGCGCAGCGGCTGTGATGGCACCTCGGTGCAGCAGCGCAGAGTAAACGAGACTGGTTCCCTTTCTGACCGAGGTTTGGAGCCCCGGGAAGGCACAGTCGCCTATTACGGACACAAGAAGGAAGCCAGACAGGAGAATCCTGGGCAGAAAAGCACCATCAGTCTTAACGCCGCTGTTCTGGCCCTGGGAACTAACAACTTGGACGTCCACTCAAGAGACCTAATCTGAAAGTTGGTAATTTCAAAGACGACAGGAGGATAAATTTACAATGATGGGAAGAAACCAGCGTAAAAAGGCTGAGAATACTCAAAATCAGAATGCCTCTCCCTCTAAAGATGATCACAGTTCCACATCAATAATGGAACAAGGCTTGATGGAGAATGAGCGCACCCCAATAACAGAATCACACTTCAGGGAATGGATAATAAGAAACTTCTGTGAGTAAAAAGAACATGTTGTAGCCCAACGTAAAGAAACTAAGAACTTTGAAAAAAGGTTTGATGAAATCCTATTGAGAATAGACAACTTAGAGAGGAATATAAGTGAATTAATGGAACTGAAGAATACAATACAGGAACTCCGAGAAGTATGCACAGGTTTAAACACTCGAATTGTTCAAGCAGAACAAAGGATATCAGAGGTCAAAGTCCAACTTAATGAAATAAAACAAGAAGACAAGATTAGAGAAAAAAGGATAAAAAGGAATGAGCAAAGTCTTCAAGAAATGTGGGACTATGTGAAAAGACCAAATTTATGTTTGATAGGTGTACCTGAATGCGACGGAGAGAATGAATCCAAGCTGGAAAATACCCTTCAGGATATTATTCAGGAAAATTTTCCTAAACTAGCAAAGCAGGTCAATATTCAACCCCAGGTAATACAGAGAACACCACAAAGATATTTCTCAAGAAGAGCAGCCCCAAGGCACATAATAGTTAGATTCACCAGGGTTGAAACGAAGGAGAAAATACTAAGGGCAGCCAGAGAGAAAGGTCATGTTACCCACAAAGGCAAGCCTATCAGACTTACATCAGATCTCTCAGCAGAAACTCTACAAGCCAGAAGAGAGTGGGGGCCAATATTCAACATCCTCAAAGAACAGAACCTTCAGCCCAGAATTTCATATCCAGCCAAACTAAGCTTCACAACTGAAGGAAAAATAAAATCTTTTATGAACAAGCAAGTACTCAGAGATTTTAATACCACCAGGCCTGCTTTACAAGAGCTTCTGAAAGAAGCATTACACACAGAAAGAAACAACCAGTATTAGCCTTTCTAAAAATATACCAAAAAGTAAAGCATCAACATGAAGAATTTACATCAACGAATGGAGAAAACAGCCAGTTAACATCAAATGGCAGTAACCCTACATTTAAATCTACTAAATCCCCCAATCAAAAGACACAGCCAAAACCCAACGGCATGTTACATCCAGACCTGTTTCACATGCAAGGATACACAAAGACTCAAAACAAAGGGATGGAGAAAGATTTACCAACCAAATGGAGAGCAAAAATAAATAAATAAATAAAAGCAGGAGTTGCAATTCTTGTATCGGATAAAATAGATTTTAAAGCAACAAAGATATAGTGGTAAAAGGATCAATGCAACAACAAGAGCTAACAATCCTAACACCCAGATACATAGAGACTTAGATTCAATGATACAGAAAATTAATAAGGATATCAAGGACTCGAACTCAGATCCAGAACAAGTAAACTTAATAAATATTTATAGAGCTCTCCACTTCAAATACACAAAATATACATTCTTGTCAATATCACATCACACCTACTCATAGGTTTAAATGAAACATTGATTGGCCATTATTAATACCCATTTTTTTCAGAATAAAGCAATATTTCTGTTCACCCTCCCTCTTTCTCTTCCTCTTTCTTCCTCTCCTTTACTCATTTTTTTTTTCTTTCCTTCTCTCAAAAAAAAGAAAAAAAAAAAAACCAACTATTCAACCCTGCCATTGTAGCTCAAATGCTATAAACAATACACAAACAAGAAGTAGGCTACCGGTTGGCCTGTGGGTCACAGTTCACCAACCTCTGCTATACAATAATTTGTTATAAACCATCATAAATATATGACATAAAGAATTATAAGTTGGACAGGCACGGTGGCTCAAGCCTGTAATCCCAGCACTTTGGGAGGCCAAGGCGGTTGGATCACGAGGTCAACAGATCGAGACCATCCTGGTCAACATGGTGAAACCCCGTCTCAACTAAAAATACAAAAAATTAGCTGGGCATGGTGGTGCGTGCCTGTAATCCCAGCTACTCAGGAGGCTGAGGCAGGAGAATTGCCTGAACCCAGGAGGCAGAGGTTGCGGTGAGCCGAGATTGCGCCATTGCACTCCAGCCTGGGTAACAAGAGCAAAACTCCGTGTCAAAAAAAAAAAGAATTATGAGTTATGAGAATTGGAAATAATTATGAATATAGCACAATGTATTTAGTTACCCATTCCCCTGTTATGGGTATCTGGCTTATTTCCACTCTTGGATGCAGTGATTAGGGCTGCACGGTGTTCAGTGAACCTGTGCCCTCATTTTGTGCTATTGTCTTAGTAGATACTGCCAAACGGTTTTCCAAAGTAGTAGCACCAAAGCACACTCCACCAGGAAAGTTGCTTCACAGTCTCAAGAACTCTTAGTACTGTCAAAGTCTTTAGCTGTATGATTGCTAAATTTTTATGAGGTCCAATTTAACAATCTCTTCTTTATGTTTAGTGCTTTTTGTGTTCTGGTTAAGAAATCTTTGCCTGCCCCAAGGTCATGAAGATATTCTCCTGTTCTTCTCTAGAAGCAGAAAGGTCTACGATCTTCACATTCACATCTAGGTTTATGATCCATCTTAATTCCTTTTTCTGTTTGATGTGAGGCAGGAGTCAATGTTTATTGTAGTTCATATGTGAAATCATCTTGTCCCCCGTACATTATGATAGGAAGGCTGCATGTACAGTCGAGGTCTAGTCTTTTAATAGAATCTGAATAATGGTAGTATTTTCAAAGCTGGGCAGGGTCTCTAGACTGTGTGCCAGGAGGAAGAAATGAAGGGGAGTGGCTCTAGATGATCCGGACTGCAGTCGTCTGAAATGAAGGCCATCTAAAATGAAGGCCATCCAGGGAAGGGAGGTTGATTCTTCCATCTGTAAAGTTCTCTGACTCTGTAACACTTAGGGAGTAGGGATATAACATTAGGCCTCGATTTTTCAGCTGTTGCTGGAAAAACCAGAGATTTCCAAGAAACTACCCTTGGGAAAAAGAACCTAACCGTGCATTGAAAAATGTTTTCATTTCTCTTCATATCGCCCAAGCCAAATTTTTGCTTCCAGAGGAAAACGGGCTCTAAACCATGAAAGACTAATAAGCCAGTGCTAGCAGCAGCAGTAACTGGGGAAAGTCCTGTGTGTTTCAAGACCAAGAACTGTTTATTTCTGTCAGTGACAGAAGGGGTGACCTGGCTCAGGTTTTGAAGACATCAGACTGTGGGCTAATATTTTCCAGACAGATGACTACTGTCCAGCGCTTTCCTGGACCGCTCCCCGGAGTCTGCTCTCTGGCTACGTGAGCCTGGGCAGCCACGCTGCATTTGCAAATGGCAAGAAAGCGGCTTTTGTGTACATCACACTGATCTTCTGGGCACTGGGTGCTGGTTTTTTCCCCACCATTGATTGCCAGAGTGGGAACAACCTGTGTGGGTTTGGACTTGGCTGAGCCAGGGAGTAGATGGGGATTGAGGGTCTGGGCCCTCGAGTTGCTGTCGGAAGAGTATTTCATTCCCTGACTCTGGAAGAGTATTTCATTCCCTGACTCAGGGTTTATTCCAGAGCACCTGGAGTCTGTGGGGCAGCTGAGCCTGGGGATGAGGCACCTTCGGCTCTGTGGGCTCCAGCATCCCAGGATTATCCTTGGGGTCTGCTCTCTTTGGAAAGCAATCGTAATTGCAGTTAACAAAAAATTTCTCCTCTGCCTTATTAATTGATGCATTTGTCCAACAGATATTTATTGAGGCAGGTACTATGCACAGCACATATACATTAATGAGCAAAACAGACAAAAATCCCTGCTTTTGTGGGGCCTTCATTCTAGTGAGGAGAAACAGAGGACGAACAAATAATAAGTAAGTGATGACGTAGGGTGTGAGGCTGAGCTCTGGGAGAGATGCACAGAGCAAGGTGGGGGTCAGGAGGGTGGGGGTCGGAGGGCTGTCATTTTAAATAGGGGTGGCGAGGCTGGCTGCAGTGAGGAGGTGACACGTGAGCAAAGACTGGAAGTGCTGGGAAGTGAGTCATGTATTATCTGCAGGAAAAGTTGTCTATGCAACGGGACACCTCTGTGGAGGTCTCAAGGCTTTGTCTCGCCCCAAAATTAGGCAAATTCTAAATCTGAAGCTTAGAGGAGTAGAGAAGGAACTCCCTCCTTGCTTCTGCACGTATTACTTAGTGCCTGCCGCATACCAGACGCTGTCACACTCTGTGGTTCTCCTTCAACAGAGAAACAAAGGACAGAGGACTCTCCAAGCTTCTCAAAACAGATTTGGACATCTTCAGAAATGCCCCCAGTGTGGCAGGCCAGATGGGAATTTAGTGATGGATTAAGTCTGTCTCTAATATTAGAACCTCATAGATATCCCTGAAATGAAATGAAATTGTAATGTGTTCACTCCAACTATTTTTATTGCATCCCAACTAACCCCTATCTTCTGAGGTTTTGATGGGCATTTTAATTAAATCATGAAGAGCCCTTTGTCTCCCGAGAAAGGGGATTGAAACCTCCGTCCCTCCGCCTCTCTCCTATCCTAAGTGCTAAGGAATGTGGCTTGTTCTCCGCAGGGCGTTGAGGTGGCAGGACCCAGTTCTGGACACAGCCTTCACCCCAAATCTTACTGCCAAGATCAGAAGGAATCTTCCCAAGAGAGAGCAGCAGCCACTCACACATGGAGCAACTGCAGGATCCCGGGTACTTGATAAACATCGTTGAAAACAACCTGCCTGCATCCTGTGTGTCTATGCATCCTCTCCACCCTGGCCTGCTGTAAGCAGCTGTGAACCTTCTCATCCTTACACTTCAGCTCTATGCCTTTCTAACATGATGGGCCAGAGCTGGCTGTTGCTGTGTTGAGAATGACCTTGCCTGATTAGTCCATGCTCACATTACTATAAAGGAATACCTGAGACTAGGCCGGGCGCGGTGGCTCACGCCTGTAATCCCAATACTTTGGGAGGCTGAGGCGGGTGGATTACCTGAGGTCAGGAGTTCAAGACCAGCCTGGCCAACACAGTGATACCCAGACTCTACTAAAAATAAAAAAATTAGCTAGGCATGATGGCAGGCACCTGCAATCCCAGCTACTCAGGAGGTTGAGGAAGGAGAATCTCTTGAACCCAGGAGGTGGAAGTTGCAGTGAGTCAAGATCATGCCACTGCACTTAAGCCTGGGCATCAGAGACCTTGTCTAAAAAACAAAAAACAAAGACTAGGTGATTTGTAAAGAAGAGTTGTTTAGTCCGAGCGCTGTGGCTCACGCGTGTAATCCCAGCTACTTGGGAGGCTGAGGCAGGAGAATTGCTTGAACCCGGGAGGCGGAGGTTGCAGTGAGCCGAGGTCATGCCACTGCACTCCAGCCTGGCGCCTGGTGATGGAGTGAGACTCTGTCTCGAAAAAAAAAAAAAAAAGAAAATTTGTTTAATTGGCTCACAGTTCTGAGGGCTGTAACATGAAGCATGATGCTGGGATCTGCTTCTGGGGAGGCCTCAGGAAGCTTTTGCTCATGCAGAAGGCAATGCAGGGGCAGGCACAGGACTGAGAGAAAAGGAGGAGGTGCTGCATACTTTTAAAACAACTGATCTTGTGAGAACTCACTATTACGAGAACAGCACCGGCAGGGAAATCCACCCCCACGATCCAATCACTTCCCACCATGCCCACCTCCAGCACTGAGGATGACAATTCCACATGAGATTTGGGCAAGGACACAGATCCAAACCCTATCACTGGGGATTTGTCATTCATCAAGTCATTCATGCACTTCCTTGTTCTATAGTCATTCGTTCATTTCCATATTCATGTCCCATAGGTCCTTTCGCATTAATGCCTCCAACATAGAGTTCCTGATTTTTATTCTACGCCTAAATTAGTTTCTCTTCCTGCCTTTCCAGTGTCAGTCAGGGGCATCCCTGCTCCTCAGTCTCAACAGCCAGGAACCTAGGCGTCACTGCCGACACCTCTGCCCCCTCACCTTCCGTATGCATTCATCATCAAGTCCGTCTTCAACATTATCAGCCCTACTCCTTCCATTCATCCCCTGTGTGACCTTGGGTAAACTGATTAACCTCTCTGTGCCTTTCCCCATAGTAACATGGTGATAATAATATCACTATCTCAGAGAATTCTTTTGATGGCGGTAGGAGTTACTGCACATAAAGACAGTATCTAACGCATAATAAGAACTAAATATATGCTAGCCTAGCGAGATGATGAGAGTAGGTTTTTCTCATCCTGTAGCCAGATGGGAGTCCATGGTAATTCATAAGATTACATTTGTAATGTAATGCTTTAATTTGAATGCATGAAATATTACATTAAATTATAATAAAGGAAAAAAGTTTATCTTAACAAAAAATGATTCACTAAAAGAATAAGGACATGAAAAACCAGTCGCATATATTATTTATTAAGCAAAAACAATATCACATTACAAAACAGTGCAAGTGGAGTGATCTAATTTTTATAGAAAAATTGCATGTGTGCGTGTGTGTGTGCATGTGCGTGTGTGTATGTATGTGTGTATGTGCGTGTGTGTATGTGTGTGTGTGTGTGTGTGTGCGTGCGTGTGCGTGTGTGACTAGAAGAACCAGCCTAAATGGTAATAGTGTAACTACCCTCTGGGTGGTAGAATTTTATATAGAGTTTTAAACATATTTTTGTTGATCTATATTTTTCTACAATACATTATATGTAATTTTTAAATTTTGTTTTTGGAGAAAGGGCCTCACTCCTATCACCTGGGCTGGAGTGCAGTGGTGTGATTTGGGCTCACTGCAGCCTCAACTTCCTGGGCTCAGGTGATCCTCCCACCTTGGCCTCCTGAGTAGCTGGAACTACAGGCATGCACCACCACACCTGGCTAATTTTTTAAACAGGGTTTTGCCCTGTAGAGATTGGTAGAGAATATGCTCTCGAAATCCTGGGCTCAAGTGATCCACCCTCCTCAGTCTCCCAAAGTGCTGGGATCACAGGCATGAGCCACTGTGCCTGGCATATATAACTCTTATAATTAAAACAGTTAACAAAAATAAAAGTAAGCAATTGCCATACCCCTGGGTAGCTCTCTTATCTGTAGGATGAGGGCCCCACACTCCTTGGCATGGTCCCCAAGATCTGGTCCCTTCTATGATCCTGTCATTTCCCTTCCTGTCCCAGCCCCCCCCCACACACAGACACACACATGGCTGCACACGCTAGTATCATCATGTTCCCTCCATGTGATCTCATGTGAAATGTGATCCCCAGTGTTGAAGGTGGGGCCTGGTGGGAGGTACTTGGGTCATGGGGGCAGATTCCTCATGAATGGCTTGAGGCTGTCCTTTGTTAATGAATGAGTTCTCACTCTTGACTTCATGCAAGATCTTGTTAAAAAGAGTCAAAGAGTCGGGGACTTACCTGTTTCTCTTGCTCCTTCTCACCATGTGGCATGCTGGCTCCCCTTTGCCTTCTGCCATTATTGGAAGCTTCCTGAGGCCCTCACCAAAAGCAGACGCCAACACTTTGCTTTGAGTACAGCTTGCAGAAATGTGAGCTAAATAAACCTCTTTTCTTTGTAAATTACCCAGTCTCACATATTCCTTTATAGCAATGCATATCAACTAATACAGAATTGGTATTGAGGAGCATACCAATTTTGTAATGAACCAACACTACAGTTGACTCCTGAACAATAGGAGTTTGAACTGCATAGGCCCACTTATGAGTGGATTTTCTTCTGCCTCTGCCATCCCTGAGAGGAGACAGCAAAACCAACAACTCCTCTTCCTCAGCCTACTCAATGCGAAGATGATGAGGATGAAGACCTTGACTGTGATCCACTTCCACTTAATGAATTGTAAACACACTTTCCCTTCTATAGGATTTTCCTTCTTTGAGACAAGGTCTTGTTCTGTTGCCTGGACTGGAGTACAGTGATACGATCATAGCTCACTGCACTCTAGAACTCCTGGGCTCAAATGATCCTCCCACCTCAGTCTCCCGAGTAGCTGAGACTACAGGCATGAACCACTGTGCCCAGTCAATTGAAAAAAAATTTTTTTTATACAGACAGGGTCTCGCTTTGTTGCCCAGGCTAGACTCAAACTTTTGGCCTTAAGTGATCCTCTCGCCTCATCCTCCTAAATTATTGGGATTACAGGTATGAGCCACCTTGCCCGGCCACTTATGATTGTCTTAATGACTTTTTTTCTTTAGTTTACTTTACTGTAAGAACACATATTTAATATTTAATACATATACAAAATATGTGTTAATCAACTGTTAGGTTGATTAACAGTAAGGTTTCTGGTCAACAGTAGGCTATTAGTAAAGTTTTTGGGGAGTCAAATGTTATACAGATTTTAGACTGTGCAGGAGTCAGTTCCCCTAACCCCCACATTGTTCAAGGGTCAACTGTGCTTAGAGTTCCCCAACCCCAGCCAACTTTTCCAGGCCTCAGTGTATTTGCATTGTTGTTTGCTTTGCCTGGAACTCCCATTCTTCTCTTGTCAGTTCAGTGAGTATGTTCTTCAAAACTGTGCTCAGTGATCCATACAAAATAACATCAACAAGTTGTAGTTCATTAAAATGTAACACTTTTGCTTTGCAAGATACACTTTAAGAAACTGAAAAGACTGGGAGAAAATATTTGCAACCCCCATATCCAACAAGGGATCTGTACCCAGTCTACAGAAAGAATCCACAAAACTCAACAGTCAGAAAACAACACATTTAAAGACTGGGGCCAGGCATGGTAGAATCCCAGCACTTTGGGAGGCTGAGGCAGGTGGATCACTTGAGGTCAAGAGTTTGAGAACAGTCTGGCTAACATGGCGAAACCATGTCTCTACTAAAACTACAAAAATTAGTCCCTAACAGTGGCAGGCACCTGTAATCCCAGCTACTTGGGAGGCTGAGGCAGGAGAATCGCTTGAATCTGGGAGGCAGAGGTTGCAGTGAGCCAAGATTGCAACTGCACTCTAGCCTGGGCAACAGAGGAGACCTTATCTAAATAAAACAAGAAGAAGAAGAAGAAGAAAGAAGAAGAAGAAGAAGAAGAAGAAGAAGAAGAAGAAGAAGAAGAAGAAAAGAATAGAAAAAAGAAACAAATTTAGAGATTGAGCAAAGGTTTGAATGGACACTTCACCAAGGAAGATACACAAGGATGTAAAAAGATGCTCAGGGCCAGTGTGATGGCTCACACTTGTAATCCCAGCACTTTGGGAGGCTGTGGTAGGCAGATCTCTTGAGCCCAGGAGTTTGAGATCATCCTGGGCAACAAATCTAGACCCCATCTCTACCAAAAAAAAGAAAGTTAGCTAGGTGTGGTGGCATGCACCTGTAGTTCTAGCTACTCAGGAGGCTAAGGCAGGAGGATCAGTTGAGCCCAAGAGGTCGAGGCTGCAGAGAGCTGTGACCACACCACTGTCTCCAGCCTGGGCAACAGAGTGAGACCCTGTCTTAAAACAAAACAAAAAAAACCACCAAACCGTGTTTAGGTGCTACTTGTCCTAGGAATCCTCCTTCATCCTCTTGACACTCTGAGTTACATGGGGATAAGTATATTCAGACGGACAGGGGACCTGAGGATCTCCCTGAAGGAGTCCCTGAGTTAGGTGGTAATTGCCATGTAACCTCATGCAAGTGATTCAACCTCTCTCACCTCATGGGGAGAAAACCCAGGAATCTCCACGTTCTAGGTGGACTGATGGGTTCACCAAGAGATCATAAAAGCAGTGGTTTGATAAAGTCATTATAGGGTTATAAAAGGTTGATAGCCTTTCCAACGAAATTCGGCAAAGTTATCAGCTTTCTCAGAACCCCAGCCAGTGCCGTATCAGGGTGCTTTCCAGGGTCGTCCCTTATCATCGTCCATACGCCTCTCCTTCCTCAATCCCTGCATACTGCTTGCTCTCAGTGTGCCATAAAACAGCAGACTTCCTCAATTAACCAATAGTGTCTGTGCCAGGCTCTGTCACCAAGCTGCAAAAATGAAAGTCCCTCACATGGTTTCCTCCAGAGAACAAGAGGTTATGGTAAAATACTTTGGGCAATAAGGAAGCTGGACCACTTGGCAGGAATCGTGCAGCCTGGGGAGAGTTTGGGACCCTGAAGGCAGTTCTTTAGGGCTTGGGTTCTCTCCACCCTGCCAGGCTGTGGCGTCCTGGTCCGGAGCTAAACCCCTCGGTCCCTGCTCCTCCTGCAGCAACCTGCCCTGCGCACCCCCCTGCAGGCTGCTTCTGCGTGCCATTCTGCTCCATCTGTTATCTCTCTGGGGGTGCTTTTGGATATCAGCCCTCCTACCAACTGCTCCTCCTCTGTCTCCAGTTCAAACCCGCAGAGTCTGAGGGTCCACTGGGCTACCTCTGAGGCTGCTGGCTGCCCCTGGTGACGTGCCCACCCTTGTCCAGGCAACTGGAGGGGGTCACATGATACACAGCAGGGAGACAGGCCCAGGAAACCCCTCAGAAGTAGCCCAGGCCAGGGCAGATGGGCTGAAGAGGAGTTCTGGATAGCAGTTACGTACTCAAGACAAGATAAATGATGTGGAATTAAAGACACAACCAGGACCTGGGGCAAAGTTGCAGTCACAGAGCTGCTGTTTTTCTCACATTTTCTCCACCTCTCTCAACCCACTGCAGGCTTTAGTTTTCACTTCGGGCAAGACTGAGAGCAGGTATTTCCCACATTCCCTTTTTCATCCACGTGCATGACATCGTTTGGCAAGATAAACAGCAGCCCTGTGACATATGTCGCCATTGTCCCCTGAAGAAGCTGAGTCACACAAAGAGCCAAGAATCTTCCCAAAGTGGGCCTGGCTCATGGTGCTGCTGGCCTCTCATAAGAGGGTAGTGACAACTTCCGCTGAGCACTCCATAAACTAAGCACTCAACACTCATTGCCGCCTGGAGCCTCAGGTGGGCACCGCTGCTGCCACTCCCACGTCCAGCAATTTATTTTAATCCCCTCTTCTTTCATCCGGACCTTTCAACTGCCCCAAGTAACAAACTATTTACATTGAAATTACCCAACAGACAGCTAATCTTATACTGGTGTAGAACAGAGGCAGTAAATACGGGTCATTGGTCATCTGCCCAGGGCAGATGTGGGTGGCTACTTTTTCCCACTGAGCCTTAAAAACACAGAACTTTAACATCCCTCTTGCTGCGAGGCTCTGAGCGGCCATTCCTTGTCTATGAAGGTTGGCATAATGGATACAATTCATTTGCCTTGGAATCTGGTTCACCCTTCTGTGGGGTTTGTGTGGGGACCTGCAGTTGATTTCAGATCAGCACTAGTTAGATGCTGCCTTCTCCCCTGCCCATCCAAAGGCCTAATTAGGAGGCTCAGGTCTTCCTGACAGTAAGGTGGTGCTTGAGGATGCAAATGGCTAGGAGGAGATCCCCTTCTGACACCTGTGACAATCCTCCTGGGGTTGCTCTGTGACTCCCACACACTTAATGACCTGCTGCAGCTTCCTGCCATATATAAATCTCTTGCTGGTTTCCCTGAACTCCACCCTTTCCAGTATCTCATTTCTCAAGCTCTTTTCCAGTAGATAATTAGTGGAGGGGCATTTATGTACACATTGGATGAGAAACAGACTGGAAAAAGGAAACTCCCATTTATTGCAGACCTGCAATGTACCACACCCTATGCAGAAACTTGTATACCTTTTCTCTTTCTCCTTCCATTTCACAGATGAAACTGAAACTGATGAGTAATAGAGCTTGTGCCATCCAGAATGCCCCCCTCCAGGGCCTTCCATGGGCTTAGAGGAATCCCGATCACCTGTGTGCTTAAGAGCCACCGAGAACAAAGGCATGGTAAAGGGTAGGCTGCAGTTGCTATGTCTCTACTTGATGCAGGTCCCCAGGAGAGCAGGCTCTCCCACCAAAATCAGAGCTCAGAGCTCAGGGTCAGACATCTACCCCCATATGTCCATCCATCCACCCATCCACACATCCACCCATCCACACATCCATCATCCATCCATCCATCCATCCATCCATCCATCCATCCATCCACCCACTGACCCATCCATCCATCCATCCATCCACCCATCCATCCATCTACCCATCCATCCACCCATCCATCCATCTACCCATCCATCCACCCATTGATCCATCCATCCATCCATCCATCCATCCATCCAACCATCCATCAACCCATCCATCTATCCATCCATCCATCCATCCATCCATCCACCCCATCCATTCAACCATCCATCCATCCATCCACCCACCCACCCATCCATCCATTCATCCATCCATCCATCCATCCATCCATCCATCCATCCATCCATCAGCTTGCCACTCACTCATTTGTTGATGGTCCATTGACGACTTCACATCCACAAGAAGCTATATAAAAAAAGAAAGCCCATTACTGGTGTTGTCAAGGATGTGGACTGATTGGAGCCCTCTCACTATGCTGGCAGTGATGTAAAATGGTGCAGCAGCCACTTTAGAAAATAGTCTGGCAGTTCCTCAAAAAATTGAACATAAAGTTTCCCTGTGACCCAACAATTCTACTCCAAGAGAATTGAAAGTATATGTTCACACAAATGTTTATATTTGAACAGCAATATTCGCAATGACCAAAAATAGAAACAACTCAAATGCCCATCAATTGATGAATGGATACATAAAATATGGTGTATCCATTCAGTAGAACATTATGAAGCCATAAAAAAGAATGAAGAACTTAAACATGCCACAACATGAATGAACCTTGAAAATATTATACTAAGTGAAATAAGCTATTCACAAAGGGCCAAATATTACATGATTCCATTTATATAAAATATCCAAAATAGGCAAATCTATAGAGAAACAAAGTAGATTAGTGGTTTCCAAGAGTTGGGGGTAAGGAAGAAATGGGGAGTGACTGTTAATTGGTATGGGGTTTCTATTTGGGGTGATGAAAATGTTCTGGAATTAGAAAGTGGTGATGGTTGCATAACTTTGTGAATATACTAAAAAGCACTAAATTATACCCTTTAAAAGGGGGAATTTTATGGCATGTGACTTTTATCTCAACAAAACAAAGTCCGCTAAGCACCTACTCTGGGCCAGGTACGCTGCTGCTGCTGCTGCAGAGATGTGTGAGATGTGACCTTGGCCTTGGGAAGCTTGTGTCTAGGAAAAGACAGACCAGTGAGCCCAGTTAAAATAGTGGGATCAGTGTAGAGGGGAGGAGAGCCCAAGGGATTTGGGGAGCTCCAGGGAGCTTGAGGATGGAGGGTCAAGGGAACCCCTAGAGGTAACAATGCCACTAAGTGAAGGGGAGTCTGAAGGGGATTTGAGTCAGGGGAAGATTGGGTCAGGGAGCTTTCGGGAAGGACATTCCAGCTACAGGGAACAGTGTGTGCAAAGGCATAGCTTGCTGGAGAGCTCTTGGAGTCAGGAGGAGCTCTGAAGTACAGGCCAGGATGAGACAGGCTAGACACAGGTGTTGGAAGCAGAAGTTCAAGGTTCTTTCTTCCAGTATGGGAGTTCCCTTGTAAGTCCCTCGGGAACCCCTGCACTGCTCAGTCCTTCCTCCAAGCCCCTGCCAGCATCACAGATCATTTCCCTGATTTTCCTGGCTCTTTCCCAGGGCTGTCTCTGCCCTTTAAATGGTCGTTGTCTATGGGAGCTTAGTCTTGGGTGAGAGAGGGCTGCCTTCAGCCTCAGCCCAGTGGCGCCACTAAGATGCTCTTCCCAGATGCATCTGGAATCAAATGGACCTGAATCTTGGTTCTGCAGCTTTAACTGTGATTTTGGGAGAAATTCTTTAATCTCCTTAAGCCTCACTTTTGTCATCTGTAAAATAGGGTTGACACAGCTCATCTCACAGCATGGTAGTGTGGAATGCATGCAACAACACATACAAAGGCCCTGGTAGCCAGCTGGGTGTTGCTCCTTGAGCTCCAGCACGTGCCAGGTGCTGGGAGAATAGCAGCAGGCAGAGCCAGCCAGCTCCCTGCAGCTGCTCTGATAAAGCTACAGCTATGCTCTGGCTCTGGCAAGACAGGCGCGTGCTCAAGCTGAACTGCAGGGCACAGACTGTGTACATCACCTCGCTACTCCTCCCCAAGACTAGAGGAGGTGGGGACTCTGTGATCATTCACACTTTACAGATAGCAAACTGTAACCTAGAGTAACCTCTCCAAGGCCCGCAGATGACTTCAGGTGGCAGGCCTGAGACTTGTCCCTGAGTCTGCCTGACAGTGGCCCCTGCTGTTATTAATAGCTTGGCCCCCACAGCCTCCCACTCAGTTGCTGGAGGAATTACCCTTCCTCCGTTTTTCCCATTCTTCCTTCACCCACCAAGAGCCAGACCCCACCTCTGTTTCAAGAGTGAGCTTCTCTGCTTTGGCCAACTGTCCTAGCATTTTGATGCACTTGGCCTGTTTTCTTGGTTTCCACTCTGTTTTTAAGGAAGCAGCCTCTGCCCCGCAAATGCTCTACCTCCAACAGGCTCTGGGACTCATCTTGCTGCCTCTACTGGCGGCAGAGGGGAGAGGGAAAGAGAGAGCCAGCTTGCCTACCGTCACTCACCACTGGATCCCCAGGGCTCAGCTTGGAAAACACAGGACGATGCTCAGGAAACTGGTGTAACAGGAATGCAGAACAGGCAGGGACATTGGCGGCTGCCCTCTGTGCCTCCTGTAATGAAAATGGCCACAAGAAGCTCCCTTCCTTTGGGAAAAGTGAATTACTGGCACAGTCGCATGACTGAGATAGTATTTCAAAAAGCAAGAATTTACTTTCTCTATTATAAAACTAACAAACGGGCATGGTGGCTCATGCCTGTAATGCCAGCACTTTGGGAGGCCGAGGCAGGCGGATCATGAGGTTAGGAGTCCGAGACCAGCCTGGCCAACCTGGTGAAACCCCGTCTCTACTGAAAATACAAAAATTAGCTGGGCACAGTGGTATGTGCCTGTAATCCCAGTTACTCAGGAGGCTGAGGCAGGAGAATCACTTGAACCCAGGAGGCGGAGTTTGCAGTGAGCAGAGATCACCCCATTGCACTCCAGCCTGGGTGACAGAGCAAGACTCTGTCTCAAAAAAATAAAATAAAACAAAATAAATAAATAAAACTAACATATGCCCAGATGGCAAATACAGAGAAGGGTAAAGAAAATATAACCATTGCCCATAATTCTACCACTTTTTAATATTGTGCTATTTTTTTCCTCATATTTTCTTCTGACTTTATTTTGCATGGTGGGCGTTATTATTTTTCTGCTGATATCCTGAACATTATTTCTTATCATTTAACTTTTTTTTTTTAAGAGATCAGAGTCTCACTGCTGCCCAGGCTGGAGAGAGCAGTGGTGCAATTATAGCTCATGGCAGCCTCTAGTTCTTCAGCTCAAGTGATCCTCCCACCTCAGCCTCTCGAGTAACTGAGACTGCTGGCATTCACCCCCATGCCAGACTAATTTTTGTATTTTTTTGTAGAGACAGGGTTTTGCCATGTTGGCAAGGCTGGCCTCAAACTCTTGGGCTCAAGCCATCCTCCCATCTTGGCCTCCCAAAGTGCTAAAATTACAGGCATGAACCACCACATCTGGCCAAAAGATCCTTAATACACTTTTTCTTGGTGGTGGGGGCACACACTGGCTCACCATGAGGCTGGTCCGGTGTGCCTTTCCCTGTGCTGACCATCTGGGTTGCTTCTGGCTCACCATGAGGCTGGTCCGGTGTGCCTTTCCCTGTGCTGACCATCTGGGTTGCTTCTGACTCACAGAGAGAACGGTGCTGCTGACCGCTGTGCACAGCGTGGCCAGGCTCTGCAGGAGTTGCCAGTCGTTGCTGCATTCTGCCTTTGGGTGACACTCTGGTAGGGAAGAGAACTTTTCCAAGAGCATCAAAGACCTAATATATATGAGGTGGGGAGACTCAGAAAGCCCAGATATCACAGCTGGAAAGGCCTCAGAGACCCCTAAGTGAAAAAAAGAAGGTCTGGAGGGCTCCTGTGGCCTAACAAAGATGCACTGATTCTTAGGGAAGGATACAAGAGCCTGTGCTTAGCTGAACTTCTTTTTTTTTTTTTTTGAGATAGAGTTTTGCTCTGTCAGCCAGGCTGGAGTGCAGTGGTGTGAGCTGGGCTCACTGCAACCTCAACCTCTCGGGTTCAAGTGATTCTCCTGCCTCAGCCTCCTGAGTAGCTGGGACTACAGGCGCCCACCACCATGCCTGGGTAATTTTTGTATTTTTTTTTTTGTACTTTTAGTAGAGATGGGGTTGCACCATATCAGCCAGGATGATCTTGATCTCTTGACCTGGTGAACAGCCCACCTCAGCCTCCCAAAGTGCTGGGATTACAGGTTGTGAGCCACTGCACCTGGCAGCATTTAGAACTTCTTGGATCGGCATCCAGCACCCTGAGAGGCTGTACTTAGGGAGAAGACGATTAAACATCTCTCTTCCTCCATTTGGCAACGTCTGTCCTTGTCTCATTCCAGTGCACTTTGTGAATTTCAGAGGGCTCTTCCAGGACCAAGGAAGCCTGCTCTGCCCACAGCAGGCCTTTGGGATTGAAACCCCCTGGGAGCAGCCTCAATGAGCAATGCTCTGGAACTGCTGGGTCAGTAGACCAGGCCCTGGCCCCTCAGGTGGGATCACTCAAAGCCCTGTGTTCTGCATCATTTTTTCAAGTTCCCTGGTGGGATTGAGTCTAGCTGCACGTTGTGAAACTGACTTGCAGGACCTTTAGTAGCTGTCTCCCTTTCTGTCTCACTTCCTCATTCCCTTCCTGATGTCCTCTGCACCTCCCAGATACACTATTTGCCCCTGAATCTTGCTCCTTGAACCGTCACACCCTGGAAACTACCCCAG